TAGTAATATAAATAAAAATAAATATCTATATTTTAATTTAATTATATTATAAACGCTATAATAATAACTAGCTATTTAAGTATTTTAATAAGTAATATAAAGTAAACTTATATATTTAGTTATATATTCTAAATTATATTAAAAAGCTAGCTTTCCTAGCTTTTCTATAGTAGATTATTTAAAAAGCTAGCTTTCCTAGCTTTCCTATTAAGGAATATTAACAGTCCTGATTAGTCTGTCGGTCTATAGTTAATCTAGTTCCGGCCAACCTGTTGGCCTATTGTCGCAACCTTAAGAGCCGGGTCGTGATAATAAACCTACTTATACTATTATTAAAGCAGACCTTCTATTTAATATCCCTGCTATTAAGTAATTCTCTAAGTCAGGTTATTCACTAATATCTGGAGTTTTAATAAAGATAGTCTTACTACTCTTCTTTATAAAGTATTCTGTAACATAGCAGAAGCGCCTAGTATACTATCTATTAAAATTAAAGGACCGTAGCGCAGTTACCGCTTTATTACAGTAAATATACTCCTGGGCCTTTAACCGCATTATACCTTATTATAGAGATATTATTGAAAATAAAGCAAAGACGGTATTTAGTACTGTTTTTGAGTGGTAATTAATTGGAGTGAACAAACGTCTATAGTTGCAGGATTCTGAAGAGTCACAAAACTTGTAATGAGGTTGACTTGGAGAATACTCCGCAGCAATCTCGTGAACAAGTAGCTTTCATGTATTTCGTCCATATCATATTCTACATCAATTTTAATATATATATTTTAATATCCAATTATTTTCTGTCTAGGCTATACTGTTGCTGGAATACCTTCATTTATGATTCGAAGATATTGGCGCCATCCGTGTATGGGACGGCACCTGGGTTCATCCACTCCCCCAAAATAGTGCAATCATACTGCTTTCCACCAACAAGTCCACCCTTACCTACCGCCCTCCATCTGTTGTAAATGGGTAAAGCTGGAGTTCCTGGTAGCAGATTCAAGTCGAACTGGTAACGACTGCCGTTATGAATGACGTATTCAGCAAACATATTGGTTGGCAAATTGACACCAGCGGCCGGTGAATCTGCAGTCCCACTGATATTGAAGTTGAAGGTGTTGGGTTTAGGATATGGTAAGTTGGAGAAAGTTGTACACTGTGATTGGAGAATCTCCGTATCAAAGGATAGGTAGCCGGACATGAAATCATCCTTATGCGGTGAATTCAGTGGCTGTGCCTCGACAAATGCAACATGATAGGGCTATTTATTATTGAAAGTTTAGCATTGAACCACATACAAGTTTTGAACAAATAGCAGACAAATTGACGCAGTGAAACTTTGGAGAGTATTCATTAACTTACCCCGCATGATCCCAGGCCGAAGAGCCAGGTATTCAGGTACTGATCGATTGGCTTATCTGCCCAATTTTTGTCATGATACCCAGCTCCTTCAAATGACGCGCTATGTCCATCAAGAACAATGTTGACTTTGGCAGAAGTCGTTCCGGGCATAGCAATGGCCCACCCAAGATTAGTGAAAAACTCCGTTTGTGCATCGTTGAAGTTTGCTCCGGCAGGAATTGCAGGATCGAAATAACGAGAGCCAGAAGTATTGCCCGAGCAACCTGTATGCGGAGGCGTATTAGTGCCAACCAGACTGACAGATCCTGATATCCCCAACGGCGGGTAATTGAACGAAACATCGAATGTGCGTGGTGGACCAGTGGTGGAGAGCAGGCTGGCGATGGTCTCTCCTGAAGGATCTTTCCACACAGCTGTCACTCGTTCTTCACTTTCAGTGACTGTTGCAGTGTCTGCTGGTATAACGATGAAAAACTGAGTGCCATTTGGCAAAGTTCCTTTCACGATTGATAAGAATCTCTGTTTCATGTAACGGGTAAGAGCAACCTACCAGAAATGTCTACTTGAAATGAAGGATCCGAGGGACCACGAGTGAAGACGAAGCCTATTTGTGGATTAATATCGCGTATTGGTATATACGAAAGTAGACTTAACAAACCTTCATACAAGACAACTTCGATAGAAGGTACAATGCCGTTGACCTCTTCACCGATCACCTATCACCGTCAGAATATTACACTTGCTTAACCGGATTCGTACTCACATTTGCCCACCACCAGTCAAAAGATTCATTACCCGGACCCGGGAAAGGATTTGTCACTACTGTGGTTAGCAAAAGTTGTACTCCGAATCGCAACACCATGCGTTATTACACACCGTATGGCCCATCAATATTGGAGGGCCTTGTTTCATTTGGTGTCACTCTTGTTCTTAGGCCATTGGTGGCGAGTACAAGTCTGGAGGCCAACAAGGCTTTTGCAAGTAACTTCATATTGAGCATAAGAAAGGGACTGTGGAAAATTCACACCACTTTTGATTGAGTAGTATTGCAATTGTCAACCACATAGAAGAAAGAGCTGAGACGCAAAGGGTGCTTTATATTTCTTTCACCTCATGTTACTACGTAGTCTGTTGCAACGCTTACCCCTTAGAGGAGCCAGTTCCGTCCTAGTAATTACCAGAATTGGGATCATTGGTCCAAGCCTTTGCCTTGATGGCTTAATCCTATGACGGATTGTTACATCGCACTAAATAGGGGTTAATCCTATGACGGATTGTTACATCGCACTAAATAGTTACGACACTGTTCCATTCTTACTCTTCCAAGCAGCGGCAATTCGCCTGCATGTTTCTGCAGGGGGTGTAAATTCCCTATTATATTATGAGCAATAATGATGCTGACGACCATCAGGGTAATAGTTTGGCAATTATTAGCTTAGTTCATATGATGACTAAGGCTTATGAGTTTAGTTGGTAGGGATAGCACTCCGTCCTACTGTTCTTCAGGCCAACAAGGAGAATAATTAGACAAGATGTAGCAACCACGATTGTAACGCTTATTCTGACAGAACCAGTTTTCTCGAATGATAAGCTGTTATTGCCAACCTGATTGTAATGGTACGGCAATGAGTTTATGATACTTAAACTTAAATTAAAAAACCTAAACAAATAAACTCACTAATTAAATAAGTCATACTTTGTTCAGTTTGTTTATGGTTACCTACTAGCAGCGCTGCCGTCAAATCAAATATATTTGTCAAATTTATCAATCAATCAATCAAATCATCGCAAAATTCTCAATCAATCAATCAAATCTTTAAGATCAATTATTTGATAAATTTGATACAATTCAAATAACTCTAGGGTATAGAATATTATAGTACGATAAGATAAGGTTAGTTTTTAATATCTTATATAATCAAAAGGATAAAATAAGATAAGGATAAGGATAAGATAAGGATAAGATGAGGATAACTAAGTTGAAGACAGGGGTCTAAGACAGGGTTTTAAAATTGCGAAAAATTGCCAAAAAGTCGCGAAAAATCGCGAAAAAAGTTGTAAAAATTTTATCAAATACATCAAATATTTGATCAAACAAATCAATCAATCAAATAATACTTCTTTTTTCTATCAATCAATCAAATCCGGGTACCGGATTTGATTTGATTGATTTGACGGCAGCGCTGCTGGGGACTGAGCTGGGAAGAAAAGCCAGCAGAGCATAAGCTGCCAAGAGGTACACTACACTGGCTGCTAGCAGAGAGGTCAGGCCACGGAGACTTCCAGAGCTATCACGAACGCTTCCGACACGAAGGAGCAGACGCCCATGCCGCCGCGGCGCGAGAAGAGAGGCAGGCCACTTCCAGCACTGCAGCCTGCTAGCTGAATGGCCGGAAGGACTGCAGCTGAAGGAGGATAAAGGAGAAGAGCTGCGAAGCTTCCTTCTTGGACCAAAGGGGCACACCGCCTTCCTCCAAATGGTAAAAAGCACAGAAATCTACAACCCCCTTATATAAATAGGGGAAAGCAAGACATCTTACAACAGAAAGCCTGCAATGGCCGGGCGGGGGGACGCTCAATCCGGAACACATAACCGGACTTTCGAACCCTGCTTGCAGCACCAGGAGGCCAAGTCCACTGGTCTCTTATAGTATCCTCTAACATACGTTAGAGGATACTATAAGAGACCAGTGGACAAAAATCAACAAGCACGATTTTGCTACTGCGAAAGACTTCCTTTTTGGCTGCTGAGAGCTTCTCCTTTAATAGCAGCAGAAGAAGATGAGATGCATACTGTGTTTCCTTTTCCCTATGTCGTTCCTTTCTCTTTCCCTATGTAAGATAGAAGCGGCTGCAGCAGCCTTGCGCTGCCCGGCCCGACCTTTTTGCCTAGATAGGACTATGGCTGTAAACAGCTAGGGTCGTAAATAGTACAAACAAACAAACAAACAAACAAACAATGCCATCCTTTGAAGTGGAAAACGCTGACGAAGAGCGGTGAGTGTTAATACAAGTACAATTCAAGTGTGAGAAATAGCCAAAATCGAAGTGGCGAATAAGTTAGGCATTTCCGGGTCCGGCTCAACCACCCAGAGACTGCACATCGCGAAACCTTACCTTTTTTGGATGAAAATATGGGCTGGTTGTCTCGTATTGGTCATGAACGCAAAATATTTCAATTATAACCAAAATTACGTCGCGCCATAAACGCCGCCGACAACAAAAACGAACGCAAAAAGGAGAGAAAGAGAACAGAGGACGGTGTGACATTTACGTTCGATCCGGCGAAGAGCTAGCCTGTAAAGTTTGACAAGTGCTGCAGCAGTAAAATATGATTTAGCTATCCACAACGGCACTTTACATCACCAAACAACTCTCTCATTGTTACAGAGCAACTATGGATTCTAGCTGGAATTAGCTGCATATAGACACTTGTGACGAACTGGGTCCTATAGGTACTATAGGTTAGCTGTTCCTAAGGGACAAACCTTAGAGTAGTTCTATAGTTTATTTCAGCGGAGCAATTAAGTTAGTTAATAGGTAATTCTATTACTAACTAGTAATATAAATAAAAGTAAATAGCTATATTTTAATTTAATTATATTATAAACACTATAATAATAATTAGTTATCTAAGTATTTTAATAAGTAATATAAAGTAAACTTATATATTTAGTTAACTAGGCTGAATTATTAAAGAATTTAATAATCCTGCCTTAGATTATTAAAATTTTTAATAATTTAGCTTATAGATTATTAAATTATTAAATAATTTAATAATCTATGCTTAATTAATTAATTAATTTAACGTTTATTAATAATTATTTAACCTATAAGTTTATTATTATAATTATAAAAGCTAGGTTATAAGATAATATCCCCCCTTTATTAATTTTATCCTTAAGACTTTATTATAAGTAATATATTTTTTTACTTACTTATTAATAAATACTTTTTATTTTATATTTATTATTTTATATAGTAATTTACTTAACTATAATAAATTATATTTCTAAAGCTTTATATTCTAAAACTTAAAAATAAAAGAGTTTATTTAAATTTATTTTTAAAAATATTAATAAAATAAATAAGTATTATTCTTTTTATATTTTAAAGAAATTTAATAAATACTTATTATTTTTAAATAATTCTTTATAATATTTTAATTATATATAATTAAATAAATTATACTATAACATAAGAGGTTTAACTATTAATTAGTTAAATTAGGTATTTACTTAATATTTTTATTTAAAGGATAAGCTTAAATTTACTAAGGATACCTTAGCAAAGTTAATTATAAAGGTTTTTTAATTATAAAAATAAAAGAAAATTTAATATAAGTAAATATATTATATTATTATATAAGGTATTACTAATTTAAATAAGTTAAATAAGGTTAAGTATAAAAAAGCAGAGGCTACTTATTAAGCTATTATATTATAATAAATAAAAGGTTTTTCTAAAGTTATTTTTACTTTTTTAAAATTAATAAATTATTTAAAAATATTAATAATAAATCTTAAGCTAGTATAATCCCTAGGTTTTAATAAAGTTTTTCTACTAATCTTATTAAGT